CTTTCAGTTCTGTGAAAGACTTTGTTTTAAAAAAAACTAAATGGGGAGCAAAGAAGACACTAAATGTGTATTTCTGGTCTCCATACGTGCATCTGTACACATGGACAGGTACGTATACACCTATAAGAATGGGTACATACAATGTACGCACACACACTAAAAGAAAGAAAATTAAAATACAGCACAAAACACTGAAATATTTGTGGTCTGCCTTAGAGCATCATGGCTATAGTTACATAAGACAGCAAATATTTCACAGCTGTGGAGAAGACAGAAAATGATTAAAGAATTTCACAGACTCTTAGCTTTGTTTTGCTTTATAAAGAGGTTGATTTGGGGCTCAAGAATTTGTGTTTCAGTTTGATTTCTCTGCAACACAGACACACCCTACACATGCACACCCACACATGTATGTACACACATATCTTCAGAGAGCTCTTCACCGTATTCTACAAAGACAAGCAAAAGCTGAAAGACCCACAGGGAAAAGCAATTTTCCATTTACAGAGGTTGCAGGTCAGCACATCCAGGGAGAAATACACCCAGTCTTCTTGTGATGAATGTCTTTTATATTTGAACACAGCAGTCAAAAGCAGCTATGCTCTGGTTCACTTTGTGGTCACACATGAAAGAGATCAATAAACCATAGGACAGCTTACTTCAATAACCCTCAAACTAAGAATTTATGAATGGACCACAGATACACCAATACAAACTCTACCTAGAGACAAAAAATATTTTTAACTCCTATCTGGTTCAGCCACTCTTAAAACCTAACTCCCAAAATGCCTCAACTCATGAGACTTAAGTCCACTGATCCTGTGACTTCTCACTGGCTTGGCTGAGTCCAAATTCCAAAATCAAACATTCCAATCATTCTTGTATATATCCTCAATTTCCTGTTCCTTCAATCAGTCATCTTCTCTTGGAAATACAACAGTCCTGGTTAAGTGCAATTATCTGCCTATGTGGAACCTGAATCCGCTCAAAATAAAAAAAGATAGATTGATAGACGATAGATAGATAGATGATAGTTAGATAGACGATAGATAGATAGATGATAGTTAGATAGAAGATAGATAGATAGATGATAGTTAGAAGATAGATAGATAGATAAATGATAGACTAAAGGTGGAGAAAACAACTTGAAGCAAGCTTAAGTGTAATCCCAGCACTTTGGAGATGGAGGCAGAAAGATAATGAGTTAAAGATCAGTTTGGGCTATGAAGCAAGACCTTGTCTCTAAGTTAATTAATTAATTAATCAAACTTTCTCTATGCTGTTTAATTTAGATGAGAAATTTCAAGCATCAAATTGGGACCTGGTAATATCACCATATTTCTAAACTTCCATTTTCTCTCACCATCCATTTCCTCAAAGCATTCATCTGTCTACCCAACTCCCATTCTGTTTATGACCTTGTTTTCTATATCACCAAGGAAACAAAATATCCCATGAGGATTTACATAGCTCCAGCCACTGCATCAGCTCACTCGCCTACATATGTGTGGAGATGCTATGCCTCCCCTGGAAAGCCTGCCCTCCTGTGAAGCATCTTATTTCCCACACCACAGTATTTGCTGGATTCTGGCTACATCCATTTTCCCTGTCTATCTAACCTTCTCTATTTCTATCCTTGTCATTTAAACAAAATTCAAATACAAGTTCTGTGAATTCTTCCTTGAACCTTCTCAATTTTAAGGCACAAAATGCTTCTGACATTGTCACAATTTGCTCTGTTTCTTAGAGAAAAACACTTAAAATCAATTAGAGCTTTACTGTGTGCCCTCCAAGTCATTCATTCACTCATTCATTTATTCATTTTCCTTTGTCTGCGTAGATCTCTTCTCCCTCCTCATGGCACAGGAAACAACTCACATGTGTCTGATTAGTGACATTTTGTTTATAATTACTAAGTCAAATATTTTATATCCTTAAACTTTATATAAATGACATTCTGTCATCTTTGTTTTTGCTTATTTGTTTGAGGTTTTTTCCCTCAGCACTGTGCTCCACACATCCATAAATGCTATTATAGCAATGTTGGGCTAATACCAGCTTCCACACTCTGCCTAGTCTTTACCCACATTTGGTCCTCAGAATAACACCCAGCTAACTGACAGCTTCTTGCCAAACACTGCTCCAAGTCATCTATCTGCCAACGGCCCCAAGAGTTCTATTTCCCCACATCCTTCCTCCCTCAGCTCCATGTCTCTTCATTCTAGTGTACCCCTCCCCTAGTCTTCTCCATTTCCATGAGCACTAACTCCCATTGCTATCCTCAATTTGTCTTCTTCCACCATGTAGAATAACAGTAAACTTTCTGATTTTCTTTCAGTCAGCATCGGCCATTTCTTTTCAATCTCTTCTATGACAACCAAGAAAACCACCATCATTTCTTGTACCATCATCCCCAATACATCCTCACCTTTGCTCAACCTGGTAGCTATGGGAACCATGTTAAAAGTGTAGCTTACAGTTCTGTGAGAGACTTTGTCTAAAAAAAAAAAGCCTAAAGTGGAGAGTAAAGAAGACAATAAATGTTTATTTCTGTTGATTTGCTTAAAGCAATCCAATGGATTCCATCTCAGTCTAAAAGCCTGAACAACCAATGGCTTATCAGGGATCTCTCTTTCTAGAAAGTAAACTCTATGAGAAATTGACCATGCCTCCTTTGAAAGTGTTATATTTCAAGGCTTACAAGGGATAATCAATGAAGATTAACTGAATAATAGAAACATAACAACTCATGATGCAATGTTTCCCTTAACCATGTTGTCTGTTTCTCGGGCTTCCCTTGGGCTGCTGAATAACCCTTCCAATTTCCTGAAGTCATTTCCTCTTCCCTACTCTCTGGACAATGCGGCCTTGAATGGCCTTGAATTTACTATTCCTAGACTGTCTTCAAACTCATAATTTTCCTATTTGTACTTCTGAGTGCTGGAATAGGCAATACCATACCCAGTTAGGAATTTGGTTTTCATCTATGCAAGACAGAGAGTGTCTAGGATTTTCATCCTTTTTGGCAAGTGGTCTGTCACTGAGTTCCATTCAGGCATGTATCTGTTTCCTCCACAAAATGGAACAAATTTTTTATCTTTACAACTTGAAACAAAACGTATATGCTCACTACCTGCAATTGTTTTAATACAACTAACAGAAATTACAGTGAGGATTGCCTACACATAGATTATTCTTTCTTCTGAAGTGCTTCAGAGTACTAAAGCTGCTGATAAACCATGTCAAAAACAAATGTGGCCTTTGAGTTTAACCTCACTTTTTTCCCTCATCTATCCATCTGTATTTTTCTGAGAAAATTTCACAGACAAGGTTAAGGAGCATATTTACTGCCTAAACTTAAGTCTTCACCTCGTTTTGCCCCATGTTTATAATAAGAATTCCTTTGACCTCTTCTGACTTAATGTTTTTATTTAATCAATTGTTCTTAAACTTGTATAAGCCACCATATAATCTTTTTATGAAAGATAAAAATATGCCTATCAAAACAAGGTTACATAATCTTTTATATTTAGATATAGATTATATCCTTTGAAAAAATGCAATCTAAAGCTCCCAAAGGCCAAACACACCCCCTTGCCTTGCCTTGGGTAGATGTTACTGTCCTCCTTTTTCTCGCCTTTCCTCTCTTTTGGAATACATTGCTGGCTGGTTAGAGGCTGAAGTCTGCCATAGCCTGGAAGCTTTCTCTAAGCTTGAAAATATGGAAACTCCCTCTCTCCCCAGCAAGGCTTTCTGCTTTCTACCTATCTTTATCTGGAGAATGTCCCAGAGCCTGGAGGACTAACCTTATCTAAAAGCTGTCTCTAAATCAGATGCCTGATTCATCTTTAGCTTGACCCCTATCACAGACCTCTGCTAAGAAGACTTGTGCTAGGATCTCTGCTATAGGACCCTACTGCCACATACTCCTTGTTATGAGGGTATGCCACTTAATGCAAATTATGGTCTGTCCCCAGGCTCCCCAATCCTATACATTCCTTATACTCTGAAGTAACATTGAGCTGACTCACTAAGTCTATCTCCCAGAAACCTTCCTCCCTTCATGCTCATGGGCCACATATAACAATTTCTATCCCCCCTTCTGTCTTTTTCCCCTCTCTGGCTGATGGCAGACAGGCCAAGAGGGAAAGAGAACCTCCCCCTGCACCTCCAGCTCTCTTTCTTTTGTTATTTATGGTTCTCAGAGATAGGGTCTAGCCTGGAACTTACTATGTAGCCAAGGGTGACTTTGAACTACTGCCCTTCCTGCCTCTGCCTCCTGAACACTGGGATTATAGGTATTTGCTGTTGGCATGGCTCCTATCTGTAGTCAATAAAGAGTCAGAAGCACCTAAATGCTTCTTTCTCTAGAAAGAACTCAGCTGTGCAAGAACATCGAGTCAGATCTCCTGCAGTCGGTAAGGGAACAGAATACATTCAATCTCATGCCAAGCTTCTGCATGAGTGGAGAAGTTCCTTTCCTCTCCAAGCAGGGTCTCTGTGGCACATGAGGAGCTCATATCCATCGTCTCTCATCTTCCTCAACACCATGGGTTCAACGAAAAGCCTGTGGCACTCCACATTCATGCATGAAATCATATATGCAAAATACACACATGCTTCGAATATATGGATCTAACTACCAATTTTTCTTGTAAACTCATTTATCCCAGGAATGCAACAACTACAATTAATTGAAGTAAAGAAGAAAAGTGCCAACATATCATTCATAGACATCAAAATCACATTGTGTTTACCACAATGAAATGTTTCTCTCCCCATAACTGACATGCCTGTATCTAATTGTGTGTTAATGTAGGATTATTAAGCTGTTTTTAATTTGAAGTCAGATGTATAGCTCATTCCAGAGCTTGGGACAAACTGGCAAGGGTCTCTCAGTAGTTTTGCATATGTCATCCCAGAGCTGCGAAAGAAAGCAGCCCAGTCTGGCTCACAGTCTGTGTTCCATCTCAAGATGTTCAAAGGATCAAAACAATTACCTCCTCGAGGACATCGGCCAGCTTGCTGAGGATTTCATCAGGAAGGCTCTGGAATGTTGGAACACTGGAAAACAAAGCAGAGAGTGATGCTGAACACCTGCATGGCAGCTTGCTATAACAAATATGTTTGCATGAAAAATGCAAACACATTTCCTGATTAAGAATTTACAGATAATGATTGCATAATTTAAGAAATCCTCTAAGTGTGTTTGATGTCTAGCAAGGAGAAGGCTTGCATCCTAATCAGAGTTTCTATTGCTGTGATGAACACCATGACCAAAAGCAAGTTGGGGAGGAAAGAGTTTATTTATTTATACTTCCACATTTAGTCAGTCATTGAAGGAAGTCAGGACAGGCAATGAAACATGGCAGGAACCTGGAGAAAGAAGCTAATGCAGAGGTCACGAAGGGGTGCTGCTTACTGGCTTGCTCATCAGGGCTTGCACAAAGTGTTTTCTTATAAAACCCAGGACTGCTAGCCCAGGGATAATACCATCCACAACGGGCTGGGCCCTCCTGCATCAATCGCTAATTAAGAAATGCCACATAAGCTTGCCTACAGCCAGATTTCTGGAGGCATTTTCCCAGTTGAGGCTCTCTTCCCTCCGGTGACTATAACTTGTATCAAGCTGACAAAATACTAGCCAGAGAAACTGACCTCTTGTCAACTTGACATAAACACATCACTGTTAAACTGCATCCTTTCCTTTCTTGTTCATCCCCTAGATCACAAATTAAAATAAACATCACAATGTAAGATATTTTACAAACTTAAAATGCCCCACAGTCTCTTATACACCTTAAAAGTTTGGTCTCTGTTAAAATTGAAAGTCTCTCAACCGCAGGATCCTATAAAATCAAAAATAATTTGAATATTTTCTTATTTTAAGAAGGAAAAACCAAGGTACAGTCACAACCAAATCAAAACAAAACTGAACTCTGTTTAATGTCTTGGATCTACTGATGATCTCTGGACTCTTCCAAAGGGTTTGCTGACTTCTCTGATTCCATTCTCTGCAGCACACACAGCTTGTCTTCTGGGCTCCATCTCTCTCCACTCCACTGATGCTGCTGCTCTTAGTGTTGATCCCATGGTGTTGGCATCTCTAAAATATTGGCGTCTCTTGCTGCAACTGGGCAGCACTTTCACCAATAGCCTCTCCTGGGCTCTCTGCAGGAATTCCACTCCTGACGTACAGAACCAAGCCTTAATGGATCTCCATGACTCCTTCTTGTCTTGAAAACCAGTACTACCTGGGTAATGCTCACACTACCAAGTTTAAGAGCCAGCACCAGGTACAACCTTGGGTACCTCTGGAACACAGCTTCTGTGTGATAACCCTGAGGAAGCACTTCCCAAAAGACTTCACCTCAATAATCCTGGCCTCTTCTTAATCACAACTACTCTTTAGTCGCAGCTGACCAGCACCCATTGTCCAGGAAAGCAAGGCTTTTACTTTAGCAATTCTGGTCTCTTGTTAACCCTAGCTGATTAGGCAGAACCAACTAAACAGACACCACAGATTCTTCACACAAATGACCTGATAGAGTCTTTGCTTCCCACTGAAGCTTCACAAGCCAGGCCTCCTTCGCACAGCTATCAACATTTGTATCTTCCAAGCTCCCACACAACATCCCACTAAGCTCTCAATACTCAATGACTTTCCTAGCCCAAAGTGCTAAAGTCCTTCCACATTCCTCTCAAAACAACATGGTCAAGTCTGTCACAATAGCACCCCACTATCAGTTACCAATTTCTGTCCAAGTCAAGATTTTTATTGCTGTGATAAACGCGATGTCTGCAAGTAAGGTGTGGAGGAAAGGGTTTGTTTGACTTATACTGCATATCTTAGTCCATCACTGAAGGAAGTCACTGCAGGAACATGGAGGCAGGAGGGGCCATGGAGGGATGTTGCTTACTGGCTTGCTCAACCCGCTTCCTTGTAGAACCTAGGACCTCCAGCCCAGGCATGGCACCACCCACAATGGGTTGCCCACCTCCCCCCGTGACACCTGATAGGTTTGGGTTCTACAACTAGATCTTTTCTCTGGAGTCATTTTCTCCATCAAGCTTCCTCTTCTCTAATGTTTCAAGCTTGTGTCAAGTTGGCATAAAACTAGCCACAGTATATTGCAAATAAGAGCTTAGCATTCCAATGCTTTAGGTCAATCCATACTTCTATGGCTTTGAGGACCTCAGCCATGATAGGGAGACAGCCACCCTCTCTCTCTTCAGTATCATCTCACCAGCTTCCACCCAGTTCCACGTCCTTTCCCCAGGTTCTCCTATGTACACCATTTTCTCTGTTCTATATCCTACTCACCCTTTAAGTTATTTTAATTGATAGTTTATTGGGACCTGAAAGTATTCATTCAATAACTGTTGTCCTCACCCCCATCCCTTGCTACTAAGTCAAATTCTATCATGATTCTTCTTGGTTTTCTTTAGTGCAAAGTCTTGGTCAGTCTAATCTAGGACATACTAGACAGACTCTTACTTCTGAGAGTCAACCCCTTTGTGTTCTTACTATAACTTTAGTTAGATATCTGTTTTTGATAGCATGTGTTTATTACTAGAATGAAAACACATTAAACATAAGAACTGTATATGGTGTGAATGTGGTTCATAATTCGTTGGCTCAGAGGTACTTATTGAATGAAGGTATGGAGGCACTGACTGACTGCTTCATAAGACTGATACGAGAACATTTCTGGTATATTCTAATCTGCATGAATGAGAATTCCTGGAAAGAAGCTGTGATTACAAATCTGATCAACTGATTAGATCTTCAGTGGTGTGGAAATGTTAACATGTGACAAATCCAGAGCCAAATTATCTTAGGGCAACTTTAGCATAACTCCCATCCTCTGTATGTGATTCAGCATCTTTGTGACTGCTAGTTAAATCCTGTGGAATGGAAGAACTGAATGAACCTAGTTTCTACCAACTGAATGGCTAAAAATGTGTCAGATAGTATCTGAAGCCTATAGCAATTTCTCCTGCTTTGTTATAATCCACCTACATGATATACCCAGCAACAAAAGTAACAAAATTGCCAACTCATGAGAACATGATAATTGGGGAAACCCACATCTGTATTCTTGGGCCATAGTCACTCATATTTGGCCCCAAAATAAGACATCTCTTTTGTTCCTCAAGGTCAGAGGTGTTTCTTTCATTGACACTTTATGACAAAAGGCTAAGGGACAGGAAAAGAAAGGATAGGATGCAAGGAGTGGACACAGCGACATACCCAAAGAATAAGACAATTTTACATTGGAATAACTGGGGTTTTTTGAAATATTTTTTACATTTAATTTAGAAACAATCTTATTTTACATGTTAATCTCAGTTCCCTCTCCCTCCCATCTCCCCCATCAATCCCCCCACCCTATCCCTCATCCACTCGCCAGGGAGGGTGAGGTCTTCCATGGGGGAATCATCAAAGTCTGTCACATCATTTGTGAGATGGACCTAGTTAAAGCTTTAAATCTCCTCAGAACCAAATCCTGTTTCTATGTACACTTGGCAGACAGACTATTAGCCAAAGCAAACCAGTCTGTGCTGCGCTGTTGCTTGTCCTTGTAGACGACGCTCTCAACCCTTCCCAGCCAAGCTCTGAGCCATCCTGTCTTCTCAGCACAGTCCATAGTCTATGCCGCACCATTGTTCATGCTTGTAGACTACGCTCTCAATCCTTCCCATCCAAGCTCTGTGCCATCCTGTCTTCTCAGCACAGTCCATAGTCTATGCCGCACCATTGTTCATGCTTGTAGACTACGCTCTCAATCCTTCCCATCCAAGCTCTGTGCCATCCTGTCTTCTCAGCACAGTCCATAGTCTATGCTGCACCATTGCTCATCCTTGTCGACGGCCCAGTCAACCCTTCCCATCCAAGCTCTGAACTATCCTGCCCTCTCAGCACAATCAATGCAAATTTCTTCTAGAAAATTAGCAGAAAGTTCTCTAAACTCTGGCGCTGCCTGATGGCATTTTGAACTGCTGTCTTGCCCTGCTCCAGGTCACTGCAGGAAACAGTGCCACAACTTGGTCTTCTGTTTTTCTGACTAGCATGAGTGGGCTTCAGTAAACCCTAAAATTTTAGAAACTCCCTTGATTATACAGATTTCACTTTGAGAAGATATAGTCAGATTAGACAGGCTAAAACTAAGCCTCGCATGGCTATGATGGAAATGTCAGTTCCCTTCTTCTCACTCAGTTCTCATTTCTTCCCTTGAAACAGCAAGTGGAATTACTGAGTGATGTCAAAACTGAAAATTGAGAAAACTTGTGTTCTTTATATATTTGCTCAGTTTTCTGAGGCAGGTTTCACACTGCATTCCAGCCTGGCCTTGAACTCATGACAATCCACCTGCCTTAGCCTCCCAAATGCTAGCCTTACTGACATGCACTGCCACAGCCAGCCAAAACTTCATTTATATGTGAACTAATAAACTGTAAACTAAAACTCATTATGGTATAACTCCTGAAAGTCTAATGAAAATGCCAGCTGGGGTTTAGGACTAAAATCTCATTTGCTCAGGTTTCAGTGTTTGAATAAAGACTACAAATGAGGGCGTGTTCATGAATGTGTCTGATTCCCGATTTACAGCATAATTTCAAGTTGATGAGAGTAATGCAATGAAAGAAGTCTTAGCTTACAGCTTTGAAACAAGCATGAACACTGCTGTTAATTTGTCACTAATTCCAACTACTTAAGGGAAAGCATATTGATGAATTTCCAGAGGCATAGCAATTCACCCAGGACCACCTGTTCTGCCAGACTTACTGTCCTGGTCTGAGTCAGGTAGGTTTTCATTTCCAGAAGGCAATCAATTTCAACAGAAGACAATAGAGCAATAGTTCTCAACCTGTGGGCCGAGATTCTATTTTTGGGGGGTCACATATCAAATACCTTGTATATCAGCCATTTACATTATGATTCTTAATAGTGGCAAAATTACAGTTCTTATAGCAACAAAATAATTTTATGGTTTAGAGTCACTGAAACATGAGGAATTGTACTAAAGGGTCACAGCATTAGAAAGACTAAGAACCAGAGT